CTGATTTTTATTAAACAAATAATATCGTAGTACATAATATACTATCAGTATTTATTATAAAGCTGATTATTAGCTGCTTAATTATACGGTCTAGTTAACGTCGCATTATATTTTTCCATGTGAAAAAGTGATACACAAGTAATCTCAAAAAGGAATTTATGGAAATTGGAAAACACAAGAAAGACAGTAATCATAGGCCTTTTTTTTCGTTTCTAGGTTGAGACTGTTAATAGTTTCTTGTTTTTATTTCTGAGACAAGTGCTCAGTTACACTTGCCGTTGTAAGTTGAATGCGTTTGAATAATTATCTTTTTTTTTCGCGCATTCTATGTTAATCCAGTTTTTCGTCACGATTGGAAATGTCACGAACAAAACGTCCTTCGTTATACGTACGATTATTGAAGTTCTCATTTTCGCCCGCACGATCGCGCGAGATAATAAGCTATCCATGGAGATAATAAATGTTCGTGTACATTTTAGATAACGAATCTCGGGATAAGAAGTATCTTGTTATTGTCATTTGCAAAGAGTTGTGAAGTCTTATATAATGTATCCTGTACTTAAAATTTTATAAGGATTTTTTCGATACATCTGTACATCGTCGCCGGATGACGAAAAGATTAATTGCAAAACGCGGTTATTACTTTTTTAACGAGTTCTTTCGCGCTGTATTTACATTAGCATAGCTGCGAGTAGCACGTGTCGTTTTTACCGTGACGGAAATGTGACGACGCTTCGCATGGATGTTGGAGAAATCGCGGGCCATCTCATCCGTGATAGGGCAATGACGTATTCGATGAATGAATCGCGTTGCTATGGCTGCCTCGCCGCGCGTATTGACGTAAAAAGCGTCTATAACGGTACGTGCTTTTTACAAAAGAATGCTTAATTATCCGAAGAAAGTAGTACAAGAGTTGTGATTCGAAAGTGTATTGTCCTAGAATGTGACGAGAAATTAGGTATAGCGTGTCTTCCGACTTTGGACAAGTATGTTTAGAAATGTTATCGCATCGCGAGGACTTTGCTTTTGCACTTTGTTCGCAAATATATCGTATTTTTCCAACTTGGACTCGCGATGAAAAACGTCATTCTGATAATGTGACGTGTTCTTTCTTTGTCTTACGTCGCAACTTCTAGGGTAAACTCGGGTAAGATGGCCATACAGGAAAGATGGCCAACCTATGTTCTTTCAATCTAGCTCGCCATGAAACGTCGAATGAACATGAGTTGGCCATCTTTCCTGTATGGCCATCTTTTACCCGAGTTTACCCTATTTTCAGTAAAATATATGCGGACGGCAGTAATTAAAGATTAACAAATAGGGGTTTTTCGGCAATTTAATCTGTTATGTCACATCCAATGCTTATCTTATTGACTGCGTTAGTGCTTCTCTATAGAGCAATTTCGATTACGTTATTGGCTCAACCTCGTAACCTTCTGGGCTATACGATAACTCGACAAAGTTTAAAGCGCTGTTTCCTCAAACTTTGTAGCATTTATCACCACAAAATTTTCGGTTCGCTCGAGTTCATGATTTGTCTTACAATGCAATGGAATGAATAGACATGCTGGCCACTTTCATCGAAAATAAAATAATCTCGAGAAGAATTTCGATGGAACTCGCAGAAGTATAATGTTCACACTTTGAAATAAAATAGTTTTCAAACGATTGAACCGGGAAAAGAATCTATAATCCAAAGTCAAGTTTTGAGAATAACGCGTCTGAGATTTTGATCTCATGTCTTGCGTACGAGTAAGGATACTTTTAATAAATGATATTTTTGTGTTTCTTATGCATAGCTTTCTCTACAAAATTAATCAGAAAAGTAGGATAGAACATTTATGTTGCTCATAAAAATAGATTTGTTTTTAAGTCTATTTTTCCTTGTATTTATTCTAGCAGTTCTTTTTTAATATAAATTATTTTGTACTTTTTAATATTATATATATCTACATGTAACTGATATGGAACAATGTCGATAAAAAAGTAAATTGCGATCTCTTTTATTATCTGAATAAAAATTTAAATGCTAAAAATAAATATTGGCTGCATGAAATAATTTTTATCTGGGTTACGTGAAAAAAATACATATTTGTCATTTTTAATTTAATGTATTTTTTAATTTTAATATATTACGTATATTTTTTAGTCAAAATAATGAAACACAATTAATATATATTTTAATTATTTTGAATTTTATCGTAGTTAAAATGATGTTTTTGGTGTCTATCATTTTAAAGAACCGGAATTGAACTTTATTCGATGATGATATCCATTGTTTGCATTCACAAACCGTCCATTGTTCGAGCAATGTCGTATTTGACTTTATTTATGCATTGTTAATTTCTGCATTGTAATCTTTTCCTCGAATAGGAAGAGACCTTTCAACAATCAATGGTCATTGTTCTTGCGGCAAAGTAAAGCAAAAGAAGATCGGGTCGTAAGGAAATTCTATTACTTTTATCTTACTAACTTCAAGAGAAATGGTTGTAAGTAATACTTTACGGCACTTGATCTTCCATTTGCATTTCTCTTGCTCCAAGAATATTAAAAAACTCGCGGCGATAATGAAGTCTGCTTGCAAGTATGTTACTTACAGTTATCGGGATACGATTATTACGGTCAAAATTAGGCAATTAAAAGTTTCGCTTTGCGCAAAAACTACTTGATGAGCTAAACGATATCTGTGGCGCGTAACTTTCCTAAAATTATGCAAGAGTATTAATATTGTAATAACTATCTCATTATATGCCTATCTCATTATGCATATTATTATTCACAAAGTTGGGTGCAATGTACTTTAAATTTATGTTGTAGTTTATAATTAACATACAGAATTACAGGCACACTGATATGATATTTGTTAGTTGGTAAAGTATAAGTTTGAATAATAAGTTTGAATAAAACAGAGGATATATGGATGAGAAAAAAATTGTTTGACATTATCTAGCTGGTTTATATTTAATCTTCCGCGTGTGAATATTAATCAGTTTTTTAGTGTAGATTTTTGCAAAAAAATTATTTTGTGTTATGGAATATTTTTAAAAAAGTGTTGATTATGGAACGTAAAAGATTCTTAAATAGTAGCTAACTGAAACTATAAAAATGATTTACTTCTTTATGTATCTAAATTAGTTCATGACAATCTAATTTCCTTAATGCCTTTTTAAAATATCTTTTAAAGATATACATATGTGTATAAAAGGAATATAAAATAGGTATTTATATTCCACAATATAACTTTCAAAAGTACAGTGTTAAAAGAAAGCTTTCCAAAAAATGCAATTTGTTATAAATATTAAGAATTCCATTTTTTCATAACTCGAATATCTAAAACAAATAAATTTATAAAGTTTGTTTTCTCTTGCTTCGTAACTTGTTATTATACTTATTATTTTGAGGTATTAAGAGCTATTAAGAACGATTTACGCGATCTTGTTTTTATTGCAAACGGCAAAATCCTGATACTAATGTAGAAATAGGATTACGATAATAGACGAGCTCAAGCGTGTATTTTCCTCAATACTCATAATCGCGAATCCGCTTTTCATGCTCTCCCATGTCGGTGTGAGTCGTCCGTCTGTAATTAGGCTGCCTTGTCATCCGACCTATTTAGCCTTGCATGCAAACGGATTTAATTCGACAAGCCGTAATCATCGACAGCGCAAATCGCAGTTTAATTACCTGCAGTGCGACATTGACTATTTCAAAGCTTTGCAGAAAATTAAGTACGGAAACAAAGCATATATAAAGTAGACAATTTGTCTGTGTTTAAGCACCTCTCTAATTCGCATTAATCTTCAACATCTGTGTAAATGTTTAATGAATGCATTGTGTTTTGTTTAATAAACTTAGACGGGACTAAATTAATTGCATTGGTATTGGAAAGTCACGATATCGTCTTTTCTCAACGAAAAAAAATCTTTAATACCGTACGAATCTCTATTGGCTTTTGTAAATAGGAGAAATTTGTTATGATGTTGCTTTTATTATTGAACAATATCCGCTATCTCGTATACGAACGATAACTATTTCAAGATACTTACGATATTTATTCAAAATTTTGCGAATGGATAAAATGTACGTTTCCATTATATTAAATAAAAGCGGATTGTTATGTGCAATTTCGCCATATTTTATTGGTCTGCGCGCTGGATTTGGTCGAGTTTTTGTTCGGTCGTACATTCGGTACATTTACGAGATTACTCGTGCTCTTGAATATGGGTTTGCAACGTGGCGATCGACCGAGGCGACCATATTAACAGTGCGCGCGCTATCCGCGATCTCACTGCCGGAATCTGTCACAAAGTTGTCGAAGTTGCTTCGATTAATACTCGTTCCTGCCGGCAGGAAACCGATGAGTCGCCGACGAACGGTTTCTAGCTTTTTGCTCGAGGCTGTAATGCATTTGTAAAACGTGACACGTTTGATAAGCGGTTTGCGAGGGTTTAGAAACTCTACGGTAGTTCTATGCATTCGTATGTTTGAACAAAAGCGCATGTAATACGTGAAACAAGAATAACAAGAGATAGGAGGACACTAAAAATACAATAATTATTACCTACGTCTAATAATATAAAATATTATTTGAGTTAAAAATATTATTGCGCGTATTACAAAGTTAAACCCGCAGTAACATCCAGCAGCCAATGATTTCAAGATCCGTCACGTAATCGAACAAGAAACAATAGAAATTCTACAATACTATCAACTTAATAGAAACTTTTCGTCACGTAGAATCGCCCTTTTGAGCCATCGTGTGCGATCGATCTTGTTATTAAAGTCAGCATCGTGTGGCGCAGCGCACAATTCACCGATTTATGCTGGAACTTTCCTTTGCAGGTATCGACAATATATCTTCCGGTAGACAACGACGACGCTGGCGAAGATATTGTCTTCGTAGAAGCAACGCGCGTCTTCGGAAACCAATTAAACCGGCTGTTCCTCTGCAAGGAACGTATTTCTGTCTCGCGAAATATTCAGCAAACTGAAGTCTCACGATCTTCAAGTTTGATCAGCGAATCTAACGAGAACCGAAGTGGTCCCGAAGCGTGACTGTTTGATCACGTGAAACACTCGAATTTGACGAGAGAATATATAAGATGATGCTGATGCAGGAGCCCGGTTGGAAGCTGGAGCGTAAGGGCTCGGGGGCGCAGGTGCTGCGCAAGGATGGATCCCACTTCAAAAGCAATACCGCACGCGTGTGCTTCCGATGTGACGTGGAGATACGCGAATTCGTGCCCGATGAGGATTACGGTATGACGGAGAGCATGGAAATGGAAACGGCCGCAAGTCCCCTGGCGATGCTGTCCAGTTGCGTGGCAGCGCTTTGCGTCACCATCCTCCTGCCTTGGCTCCTGATCGGGGGCTAAATCGCGCCGCTTCTATCATCGATCGCGGCAGGACGTCGTCGCTCGAAAGATTCGCATCGACAACATCATCCTTCGATTGATTCTCGACTACGAGTGTACTCGGGTACTGGTATCCGTCTATTCTTACGCTGGTGAGAATCCCAATAGTCGCTCGTGGTATATTTGACGGTTAACAATGGTTGCGTGAATTCTTGAGTCGAACGTGCTCAAGAAATGTTAAGATATTATTGTATACTACAGTATCCGTGATCAATGGATATTGTAATACTTTCGGGCATTTTTTTCGATTAGAGCGAAGACTCGCTATTCCCGTTCGAATATCGATCATTGGATATCATTCGAGGAAAGACATCTCTTGCATGAGACGAGAGTGTCACGCGGTTAATTGTTTTATCAATGAACCGAGATAGAGAGATGAACAAGTTTTATCGCTATGATTATATATAGGATTTATAATTGCATTCATCGCGTTTGTAGATTGATGTGACGATTCAGAAGTTTATTCTTATCGATTCTATACTGAAAATTCTCTGGAATTTATGATAAAACAAATTTTTTTACAAAATTTGAACGTGTCGAAAAGAATTTTGATTTAATACGTGATGAACAAAGTCATATTTATAACACTGCGAGCTAGAGATTCAGAATTCGATTCAGAGTTCAAAGAATAGCAAGCATGCTAGATATTTTTTAGAATAAGTTATAGTGACCGAGACAAATGATATTAATGTTTGGATGTTATCCAAGATTTTCAATGTTATAAGTAACGAGAATATGTGACTGATTTTTTTCTGTAATTGTATAGTGTATAGTTGAACAAGAGTTATTTGTAATATATGTGTATATCGATCTTGTAACGGTACAAAATTCAACATGATTGTATTTTGCTAAATGTTACGTAATCCAAATTTTGTAAATATTTTATATGTGTAAGAGAAGGGCGAAAAAATAATAAGTAAAAAAGAAAAAAGAAAATCCGAACCCGTCGTTGGCAGGTGATTGATTCAACCTACACTTGCTACAGGTGGTATACCTACTCGAGGCACAAGCGATTCACTTCCCTTTTTCTCCCTATCCTAGATACCGCCGGTTACACCAACTGCTGTTAAGATTTAATGATCCCGTACTGCAGCTGTGCTACTGCAGATTTATCCTAGCCATTTTATGGACCTCGCTGTATCGTTAGGTTTTAGATTAAGAGCCGAGTAACAGCCGGCTACGAATTCGCAAGACCACGCGGACATAGAGCGGGATTATAAAGCCGGGGTGAACGGGATAATATCGCAGTACTAAAGTCGTCGGTAAACTCGAAACAACTTGATCGCGCGCACGGAATATTCCTATCATTTATATTCCGTCGATGTCGCAAAGCGACGGTCGAAGAGGCAGCCGGGCGGATATAAGCCATCACTTTTTGTACATTTTGCAATTTTAATATCCGCGTATAACATTTTTTTTCTTTTTTTTTTTTATTAATTCTCTAATGCACAAATGCCACTTTTGCGAGATGAAACACGGTTGAGTGAGAACTTTGAAATAATAATAGTAATTGGATAAAGAAAAATTTTAATACTAGTTTTTATAATTAATTTTTTTTATATGACATGTACAAAGACTGATATATACATATATATCCGATTTGCTAGAAGATATAATATAATATAATATAATGCAGCGGAAGATAAAAGAATAAAGAATAGAAGAGCCATCAGAATAGGGATTTAAAATTTTTACGAATTCATTAGATTTACGTGTGTAGTACATGTGCAAAAGATATGCTCTCTGATAAATTATCTATCGAATAGCCATTTTCTTCCACGATATATCTAAGAAGAAAAAGGTCCGAAATAATATAAATTTGATGAAGTATATTTTGGTGAGATATTTTACATAACACATAAACTACAGACTGTTGTATATCTAGTTCAAGCTTTAATCGATTATTTAGAAGGGAAGGTTTCGAAGTCCCTTGTTGCCCTCCGATTTTGATGAACTTTTAATGTTGTTTAGACGAAAATAAGGGGACACGTATTTTTTTTAGTTATATTGTGTCCCTTATTTTTGTCTAGAGAACAACCATTAAAAGCTCATCAAAATTAAAGAACCACTTCGCATCCTTTCCTGGTAAATAATCGATTAAAGCATAAGTTAGATATACAATAGTCTGCAGTTTATGTGTAATGTAAGATATCCCACCAAAATATGCTTTATCAAATTTATATTAAAGAAACGAAGTCTCGAAAATTGCCAAGTAACTTGTCAATAGCAGCAGTTACTTCGTCGAGACTTTGAACTCTCGGAGGATACCATCCTCCAAAGAAACATCTGATGAGCTGTCGTTAAAGAATGCTGGCAGTAATCGCGTCTGCAACGTAATCACTCATCGAACATCTGATCGCCCGTGCATCGAGAATATTCATCATGAGCTGGCACCGTTATATTATATAGTAATGGCACTCGTACCTTGCACCAATATCAGATACTTATGATATAACTGCCTCAAGCGCGAAAAATAGATTATTTTAGAGATGACGTCGACGCGACAATAAAACCGTCTTACCGTTACGCGACTTATGCGGACTCTTGTGTACTATTTTATTTTAAAGTAGTATTATCGATAAAATCACACTTCCTATTTTACACAAATTTCGCACCATTGTTTGGCTGTTGTTTGAGAAGATATCAAATTATTACTTTTTATAAAATTCAAAATAATATTCTGTTTCGAATAAATGCCATATTTCCATAATTTCACAGCACCATTTCTATAATATTTTAAATTATAATAAATTTTAATTTTATGTTACATAATAATAAGTTTACACGAATTTATTTAAATTGTTAGTTAACTTTATTCAATTTTGAATATAGCATGCGTGAATTTATTAGTGTTTGGCGTGCACTTGATATACGTAATTTTCTCTCTTTTACTAATATATTATTAACAGGGATTTAAAATTTTCAGCCGCTCTTCTCTTCCAAAAACCGTCTATGTTTTTTATGCGTATTTCTTACGTACGCTATTGCCAGTATTGTTTTGAGGACCATCATACCGTTATATGAACGTCTTCCATTTGTCGGTGGCCGTAAATTCGTTACGCGTGGTCTTGCGTGCTCGCGCGAATTTACGTTCGTCGGTCGGTGCGACCCTCGGAACGTACCTCGAGTTCTACTTTACGGACCGGAAAGATGGATGAGAGCTTCGCGGGAGGCGAGTTGAAATAAATTTCGACGAGACGAGAGAGGCTCGCGGTAAATTTTTTCGTTTAGCGAGACCGAGAGAACCTCAAAGGAAGAGCCAGTTTCTACCGGCTTACGTGTGCGGGAAACTGCTCCTTCTCTCTTTCGCTCGCTCGCGCGAAAGTATCGGTGAATGCTGAAACGAAAGAGGTTCTGCTCCTTCGAAGAACGAGGCTGGTAATACTAAAGAGACTCTCTCCCTCTTCCCAACTCGTCTCTTTAACCTGCAACGGTACTGCACTTCGTGCAATTTCACGGAAGACTACAACCGCTCGCCGAGATTTTGTATATTTAATCGACAATGCTGTTCGAAAATGCCGGAATAAGAGAGAAATTCGCAGAGAGGTACTCGCAACGAACGTAACGTGGTTATAAGCCAGCGAATTGCACGTCTAGAAATAATTGTAATATAATTATTTTAATTTGACGGTAATAAATAATTTAATTTGACGGTATAGAAGTAAAATAATTTAAATAATTAGAGGACTCAATATATATATTAATACGTATCCGTAAAATAATTTATTTAGTATCTTCGACATTGTCGGTCTACTTCGTTAATTATTGCTTTGGTATTCGTCAATCGTTAGCGCGAAATTATCGGCGAAAGTTGTATAATATGATTTATTATCCGACTTGTTAAAGGTGCATTTATTCGAATAACGTCTAAAAAGTATTGCAATATTAACTCATAAAATATTCTGCATAGATGGAATATTTTATTATCGCATCGTTCGAAATTGTTCGCTGTCATTTACAACGGTGGAAGTATAAAGATGCAGATACTTTGCTATAACGCGATTAGAGGTGTTAAATTTCCCAAATTTGCCGATAAAAATGTTCTTGGAATACATAAGGATATTGAGAAAAAATTTTAAATTGCGAAATGGTGGTAGTTGCGAGATGAAACATATAACGATGCTAGTTTTAGTAATCGTGAAAATGCGAATCTAATCGATTTATTCAACATTACGGTGCTATAAACGCGTCGCTCCTTTTTCTCCTCGTTATGGACGTACAGGCAAAAATCTCGTTCAGCGAAATATAGTTCCGGTAAATCAAAGTTTATTCGTCGTGTAAATCGCATGCGTAGTAAAGTACTGTCGTCAAGCGGCGACAGTGCTGTTGCAACAAATTGTGTGCGCATACGAGATTTGGGAGTAAACCGTATACACAGGCGCGATTATGCATAGGATGCCATAGACCGCGAGAATGCATAATCAACAACGTGTTATTTGTTTATGTTTCTATAATAAAACACAAACAAGATACAGCCATTATTTCCGCGTCAGTTTCCTCTGTTATTCGTTGCAAACCCGTAAATTATTCTCGAAGAGCTGTTGCGGAAGAACTGTACGAATACATCTTTATTTAATTATTATCATCTATATAATATTTGGCAATATACATACTGCAGTATATTTTTTAATAATCTTTTAGAATTGTTCTAAAATCTAAAGTATTTAATTTATTAAAACTGCATATCACATTGGAGAGGATAATTTTATCGAAAAATTCTTTATTACGTATAATTATTATCTATTTATATAAAATTTTTTGTTAAGTTTAATTTTTTTATTTCGCTGTGATTGATACAGTGAGTTTTATTTATAGAAATTAGACAGTTGAAAATAATTGACCTGCATTTTTTTATTCAGGTTTCTTTATCAGTCGACCCGATTTATGTCTTATTTTAAGACGCACATCTTAATTTTCACTTATTTTCCAGAATAAAACCGTACACATTAATAGATCTTCGTATAGTGATCAACCTATTTATTACCCGCGAACACAATGTGCGAGACACACGCAATTACCTACTTACAGCTCATTAAACTATTTCCCAATCTTCAATCTTGCGCACACGATGGTATGTGAAGATGGTATACGGAATGTCAAATAGATCAAAGTAGACGAGTGTTCAGTCGACCGCAAGCGTGTAAAAATCTTAGTAATATATTATGTCAATTATACACGTGCAAATTAAATCATTATAAAGTTTTATAATTTAGTTTATAATTTCATGAAATTTTACATAATTACATAATTAGATATATAAATTATTAAAATGTTATAAGAAAAATATATGAGATCGATTAAAAATAAATGTTCTCTTAATATGATAATTTGGTGAGATTAAGAAACTCAGCCATATTTCATTTTGTGCGAACAATTGTTAAATATTAATGGAATGGGATTGATAAGAAGTTAATGTAATAGGAGTTTCATACTTGACATACTATATTTGAAATATTACTCACAAAGTTCGCTCTGACCAAATTATTCGGCATCTCGTATAATCTGGATCTTATGAATAAATATAAGCTAAAACATATTCGCGCGTCTCGCCTCTACAATCCGGAATACGGCTGTCGCGGCGCGGGAAGATATATGATACAAAAATTTCGCATCGCCGCTGCGTTGAATCGTTAATGAATCCGTCGCGCAACGCCCACACGCTCGCGGATGTCTTAATGAAGGCAATCCAATTAGTATGCGCGGACAATGGAAGAGATCACGGCTAGCACGAATCTCTTCCCGACCTGTGTCCCTTTTCGCTCCCGCCTCCCGCGACTTTTGCATTCTCAGCGTTCCGTCGTACGAAATATGCGCATGCTTTATAGGGCCGATGAAATGTGTGAATTTAATTTCTCGGTGCTGCGGGCGCATAAATATGCATCGTGCGGCGCTCGCTCCTTCCTCGCCCCCGCGCTCTGATTTATGCGCGATTACGCATTTACTGGAGCGGCGACGGATTCCGCTGACCGAGAACGGTCAGCGGTTTCGATATTGTCCGGATGAACGAGAGGAGAGACGACATAAAAGGACCACTGAAAACTTTAATCGATAGCCCAGCTCTTCCAATATAATCCGATCCACCGGCCGGATCAATTCATCCGGGGCATCCGCACTTCAATATGAATCCCGGACGATCACGGTTATTTTATACCGTACAGTAAGAATTAGCGATATCCGTCTTCCTCTTTCGATATAGAGAAGAACCGAAAGAATTTTTATATTATAAAATTTTTTTTTTTTTATTGTGTTAGGTATTTTATATTGATTTAATTACACTGGATTAGTATATAGTTTGATTATTTTATTAATGTATTTTAAATATTTGTTTTGACGTTTAATTTTTTTTAAAAGCTCTCTCGGAAGCTCTCGTTCAATGATGCAGAGTAAAATCGGCGATATTAATTTTTCTTGTCTCGCGAAATGTATTCGCATTTGTATTATGTATCGGATAAATCGATTTCCGTGGAAAATGTTATATAGAGCTCCGGCATATGCATCCGTTTCTCTTTCGGAGCACGTACGACGACCATGAAAGTTAATCAAGCAGTCCGAAGCATCGAGTATTAAATTAATCCCAACACGTTGTGTGCAGACCTCGCGAGAATGTAACCAGCCGCGACGGCTGATTGATACAAATTGGCATCAATTTCCTTCAATTTACGAGGGATCTCGCAATTTTACGACACTAGGCGGCATCTGCCGTCGTTGCCGGGCGCCTCGGCTCGCCGACGGGCAAAGCATTTCTCTTGTACACGCGCGCGGATCGATGTAACTGGCTGTGTCGTCGGTAAAGCCGGGGATATCATTTCGAAATGACTTGGATAGGTGGCGTACAATCCACCTCTTTTCTCGACCGCACACGCTCGCGCGAGATTTCTCTTTTGTTCTGTTTTGTCATTAATATTAGCTTTCTTATAAATTGTTAATTTATGCTGAGTACGTGCTGCATCGATCGGCAATGTTGCATCTGGCTGTGAGATTAAGCATCTGATCTGGTTTTACATTAATTAAAATTAAATTAAAAATTCACAATTTTTGCTTTTATATTGATTAAAATTTAATAGCTTAATCTCATTAATTTTAATAATATTTATGATCATGATTTTCAACAAAGTGGACCGGTGAGATAACTCTTTTTTCTCGTATCGCGATTGTTAGACGCGAAGTAATTTAACGACGTTTGATTCCGCTGATTCGAATTTTAAATACATTGATTCAAATACAAAATGATAGGTTTGTATATTACAATTTTCCTATTTTACTAATGAAATTTTTGTTTTCTTTTTCAGCTGCCGGATCTGAACAATCTCGACGAAAAGGTGAGTCCAGATAAAGATGATATCATAATAACATGTCCATTTGCATGAAAAATATATGTAGTACCTACCCGTAAAATGAAAAATCATCATATTCCGTTAAAAGACGAAGAAATTACGGTTTTGATATAAATTTCAAGTCCGTACGTACAATAATTTGCTATCAAAACACGTAATCGATTTTAGAAAAATCTCTTTATACGGATTAATTATTTGGTAGGCGACAACCGTACCACATTAAGTATAGGCTACGTGATTTAAATATAGACAAAGAGGAACGTTTTATAGATGCATAAAAATTACAACGTTCGCACGGAAAATTACATGCCTACGTGACTATTCTCATAAAGTGGCGAGTCAACGTAATGCAGGCAATAAGAATGCAAAAAATTCTAACGACTCTGACTTATCTGTTATCTACCATTCTACCTTATCATCTATCTATTTTTGTCCAACGTAGTTAATAACGCTTCGGAGTTAATCATATAATACGATATTAGATAGTCTTAGTTCTTCGTCATTTTTATGTTACGCTGGAGTATTTCGACTTATAGGAAGCTTACTATACATAATAACTTGTTATCGATCAGTTAATGTTGGATTTGGAGCGATTACTTTTTTTTATCGAAAGGTTTGAAAAGGTTATTGACATTCTTGTTTTCAATACATTATGGATATCGTGTTGTAGTTATATTAGTGCATATAGAAACTGAAAAAATTTACATTGTACCAAATTTTAAAATATTCTTGAAGAATAGTATTTACGTTATAGATTATTATACATTTAAAAAGGGAAAGTAGAAAGTGGGCGTAAATGTATCAATGCAAAAATAATCAATCCGCGGGATTGGTAAAATATCAAGCCGCGCAACCTATCATTACTCTTCTCTTCTCGAATTTTTCTTCGGGAGGATTCTTCGGATCTTTCCGAACTTTCATTTATATTGAATTTTTACGTAAAACGTGATTCGTAAAGAATGTACCGCACAGTCACGTTTGCAGTTGCGAATATCCGAGGAATGTCGGTCATCTCGTATTGGCGATATAGGGCCACCTGTTCCGAGGAATTGAACGGCGTTTAAGAGAAGCGTCGTGTAATAGCTGTCCTAATTATACATGCTATCCTATCGATTTATTAAGTCATCGTTACATATATGCCGTAGCATAATGCGGGTAGCATAATGATAAAGAATCGATTTTTCTATATTTCAAGTATATATTTCTTTTTACATACATGTTGATACTTCTATAATTTAACATAGTTCTTTTTTTATTCTTTTTGATGTATATAACAATATGTAATTAAGATCGTATTACAGAAATAGTTTAATATCGTGTGTAATGGTCATTACTCTTAATAGGTAACTACGTGAATTTCTAGGAATCAGGAAAAAACAAGATACTACGTCAAAAATCTAAGTTAATCACGTCAATTAAGATTTTCCTTCTCTTCGTACTCTTTCTCAGTTCTAATGGAACCGTCGCAACTCCTCCACGTAATCGTCATTACGGTGTTATTGCGTAATTCAACTCGAACGATTCTCTTCAATTTTACCGCGGCATTGCTTATTATCCAATTTCAGCGGTCGTCGAACTTCTCGCCATCGAAAATTGCACGCGTTTATTCATTCGTTCCGGCATACGAGGCCCAATTTTCATATGTTGGCACGTGGGTTTATATTTGGACGCGGATCAGCGGGAGGGGGGGAAGATGGGGTTTCGTTCACGTTCGAGTCGAATACGAGAATCACGTGTGCGTAATTCCGCGTGTTCTGGTTACGACCTTCGTGCGATCATATTGCTACCCGCGCGTCCGCACCGGGTAGCATAATCGACTATACCTTCCTTTGACATGCAAATGACGCCGTGCAACATTCAAATTGTAGCCCGTGTTCCGGCATAGTTGCACACTGACTTTTGTACTGTACAGCAGTGCGTTACGCAGCGATAAAGCGGCTTTATTAGATTGCATTTCGTAGTCGCGTGTTGCTGGATCTCTGTGGAAAGGAGAAATAATGATCCGTACACAACTTTGTTACATGAAAGAATGAATGGCAAGAGTAATCCGTAAAACGCGAATTTTCCTTCCGTGACACAGATATATTATATAATTCACATTCGCGAAGCAGATTAGAATACATACGATGAAACTATAAGCAGAGGAAATTAATAGTAAACGAGGTTTCTAATAATTATCGTCGGGTATAACAATCCAATTTGAGTACTTAAAACCTTTATCTAATATAAATAAACTCGCGATTATAAAAGCAATATCTGTCCATTTATCGTCTATTTTCTTAAACATGTGTATCGGATATAATTTAGACGTTCCGTTTCGACAGACTACGCGTAGACTATGGTGGATATCAGGTACAATTAATATACATTTGCATACATACATACATACACATACGTACATATATGTGCGTGTGATTAAATCGAGTGTCATTAGCGTTCAGTTAGCGTCCGGGGTGAACATTCTATTGGTGTCTGTCGTGCTGCGTGCATGTGACTGTTGCATTTGCAGGTGCAAAGTGTCGTCGGCCAATGAGGTCGTCGATCGTTCACTGTCCGGTCAAGTATTTTCACGCGTATCTAACTCTGATGGTATAACACGTCAGCGAGATCGGGGTTAACAAGATAATAGCTTTAAAAAGATATACACATAGAGCACTAAAGGTCACAGTCACGTAATTGCTTGCTAAGAAGAAATCAATCTTCGAATTTCACTTTAATAAATATGAAATTCTGACTCGCGAAGCTACATATATATTGCTATAATTATAATAATTTCAATAATTGTGATTTTTAACGTAACGATTATTAGTTTTTTTTTAATTGCCGATAACAAATTGCTAAGATGTCGGATTGCACGGTGTGCTGCATTTTTTTATTGTCCCTCGTCTTTTATATAAATAGTTTTAGGCACACGTATTCTAATAGCGTGATACTCAAGCGAGCATCGCTAGACGCGGTTATTCACTTTTATGCATACAAAGTCGTTTTAGAAGTTTGAGGAAAACAGGCCACGCGTACCTCGTGCGCTTTGCATGTATACCTATATAAACTGTAGTTTCCTAATGTACCTCTAATGTTCTTGGGCAAACGGTTATTTCTAACAGCGCGCGAATGACAAGTCAACACTTTTAGCGCAGATAGTCTCGTAACACTGATACGACATTTAAATCGCCGACAAACTACCATTATCTACCAGTGCTTAATGCATTAATGATGCTTATTTACATCATTAATTTAAATTCTTTTATCATTAACGTTGGAGTTATGTGGAGTGATCCAGATACTAACTTTTAAATATTATAAAGTCAAGTGGTATTTTGCAATAGGAAGTAAACAATATTGGGCGGGAATAACTTCGCTTTTGTGATTGCGTAACGATATGTTTTCGCGATTGTGAGCTTGCAAAGCGCAGCATTGACGGAGAGACCGGTTCTGAACTCTCGAACTCGGAATCGGTTCGAACTGGCTGCCGTCTCGGAAGCCATTATGCCGATCTGATGTCATTATGAGAATAATTTCAGTCTTTGTTACGCAATGTGATTTGTTTTCAAACGCGAGCGTTGAATCGTTACGTGAGTCCTACTAAAGAGTAGGACTGGCACTTCCGAGCTCGGAATCGGTTCTTAATCGATTCCTTACCGAAGTTAGAAGACCGCACCTCGCTGACTACGCTGTTTCAACGTCGATTTAATGCCCGTGCAGTCATAGTCATAACTTTACTTGGCATTGCGCAACGATTTGTTTTCGAGCTCGGGGTGGAATTGCTCGCTTGTAAGAAAGAGGGAGATATACCGGTTCGCGGTACATGCGGCTCATTCGCTTGGCCGTAGGTGCCTTTTAGAAGTTGAGAAAATATCTGTGTCACTCGTGACGATCGGTCGCCGCCGTTGAAGCTTGCCAGATACTCGTTGTAAACAGGATGGAATTCGCATGCATATTCAAGTTTGACGTGCGCGCGCGACGACGGGAGTATCGAGGTCGCGGGCTTAATTTTCGCCCGGGGATTTCAGGCCGCAAGAGAGTAAAAGCGCTCTCGCGTTTTTCGGTGAAAGTATACGGAACGATGGGCTCCGTAAGATCGATCAATTGGGTTAACGACTCCTCGAGTAGACACATTCGCCATTCCGAGCACGGGCTCGAAGTTGCACGATTAACCGGGATGATTATGACAGCGGAGAAAACATCCTCACCAAAATAATACCCGATAAAATTGATGCTCATTATTCTTTAACGACCACACGATGACGTGCGAGTAGTCGTAATTAGATGTATCACTTTTTATAATCGTATCGTAACATCGTAATATTACTATATACCGCCTTCGATAATGACATAATTTATATGTATACAGTCATCAATAAATGAATATCGCGGTTATCTTTGTTGATCTTACACATTTATAATTATTAATTTATTATATTTATGTAGTCATCAATAAATTAATATCGCGGTTATCTTTGTTGAACTTACACATTTATAATTTATTAATTTATTACATTTATAGTACAATTTTTCTCAAGTTTTAAGTAATTTATACATTCTTTGTGTTATTTGGACTATATACGCACTAATTTAATGACTATCGTTTTTCAAGAACTTCGAGGATTGTTATAATTAAAATAAAGGAAGGAGATCAAAAGAAAAATAGTGACGTTACTTGAAAACAAGATAGGATCGTTATTTTTTTGCGAAATTGTGCTAATTTTTTTTCTATTAAAAGATCTATGTAAGTGGTAGTTGTAACTAACGTTTACAATGATTTACGTAAAATGTGTGTCATCAGACGGACGTCCGTTTAGCGTAGCGGATAATCATTAATACACGGAGAGTTCGGCTCGTAGTTGTCGAAATGCGAAACTCAACCGTCATCGTGCATCTGTCGTCCGCCAGCAATGTCTGCTTTGAAATTCCCAAACTCCCTTTCGTGTATTATGTGCAAATTTCGCGCACATCACCACGAGCATACACGAGGAACGCTCGTCTTC